TATTCACAGACTAAATGTTTACACTTCAAACCACCTATAACAAAACTTTGCCTCTTTTTACATGAGTCCCATAACAGTTTATCACAATGTTATACATATCCAGATGCAAATTGTTTTTGTTTTATTCAAATAACATTAAAGAAAACCTTTACTTTTAATTTGACAGGGGACATGAGTGGTTAAAGTCAGTGTTTAATTATGTTACATTTATTGTAGTTGCAATGTTTTGCTTAAACACAACTGGCAATCAGATGAATTTTCTATCAGTGTGTCTGACTCCAAACAATTAATTAAGCCTCTTGTTTTCTCCCGTTCCAGAAGCAGGGCTGTTTCTGTTGTCGTCGTACGTGCATGAGTTGTGGCGAGGAGCCACGTCAGCAGAGCTGTTTCTGTCTCATGTCAGTTTGGTGACCAGAGCTAAGTGTAACAGACAGAAAGCATCCAAATCATCTCTGAGTCAAACAGCCATCAGAGCCATCTGTCATGACATCACCACCCTGAAGAGTTAAACATCTGACCACTACTCTGTTCTCTAAAATAGACTTCGTTACATTACATTCTTGTAAAAAGACTGAAGATATTTTGTAAAACCTTCCATTATAAAATGTTGATTTACACTTCTGTGAATGTTTTTTTTATTGACATGGTTCCTGTATGAACTAAATATTTGAAACATGTTGTGTGTAAGTGTGTCTTTGACTAAATCTAAGAAATTATTAGCTGCTTTTAGATAGAGCACAGCAATATACATGTGCTGTCCTTGTACTTTTAACACCCACGGCCAGGTTAGCAAATACACACAGTGAAGGCTAAAGCATAGAACAATATTTACATAACATTGTACTAAATGGTAACATCGCCTTGTACTCAGTAAGTATTCATTGAAATGGAAAGAAAGCAGGACCCTTTGCTACTCTGTCTAAAAACGTATTTTCCTGCAACATAATCTTCACAGTTTTCCTCCTGGTTATTGTTTTGTGTCCATCACGCCTCATTTTAAACAGCTAACATTTATAAAATGTACTCTCATACAAATAAAGTCCTGGGTCAAGCAGTTGGTGTCCTGTGATTTCCTCTGATGTTGGATCTGTGTCTCCTGCAACAATAATAATAAGAACGTTTTAAGGAATGTATAGCTATATTTTTGTGTGTCTATTTCAATGTAAGCCAACCTACCTTTGAAGGTTTCCACTGCAGGACATTAGATTCAAACTGAGGAAGAGGAATCCCATAAAAGCAGCCAGAATGATCCAAAATATTATAACAATTGAGTCTGAAAGGGATAAGGAAAGTTCTCATTATTTTCAATAAAACCAGAAGAAGACAAAAAATGCAATAACTCATAAAGACTTACACTTGTTGTATTTCAGCTTGCTCTCATCCACAATCGAAAGATCAATGTAATCGTAATAGTATTCCCATTCAAAGGGAACAGCGGTGGTTGAGTTCTCCATTACAGCCATCGTTTAATTTTTTGAGTGGAATAATTCTGTTCTATTCCAAAATGTTGACAGTGAAAACTGATAACCATTTAACTATGCTGAAATGTTGTTTCTAACAACTAGAAAGTCGGTCTGCAATTCAGACCGACTGCATTATGTCTGTCTGTCTGCTCAGCTTCAGTTGTGTTTCATCTAGTCAATTCTGCAGACTTATTTTTATTCCAGAAGCATGCAGTTGACGGGTTTATCCACATGAGTGCACCATAGGGTCATTCAATAGCAGGCAAGAAAACAACTCAGGCGCAATGTAGATAATGACAATTCCTACTATGGTGTCCCAATGTCCTGTTGCATTGCTCGGCAACATTTGTATAGAACATATATAATTAGTACTTGGTTATCTTTACTTTTATGTCAAATGTGTTGGATATTTGGCTTTAGAGTTTAAAAGTCATGGTATTTCAAACTCCGGAACACGAGGGGGCGTCAGTCTTGGTTTACGGAAGTGGAATGGAAGTGGATGGAACGGGATGGAAATGTTATCAGCATCCGTCTACATTTCCGGTCCTATTGATAAGGGTCCGATCAGTGCTTTTCACGAGTCCGTATAGATACAGTAATGTTGTCAAAAATGACATAGAAAGTAACTTATTCTATACAAAAGTACAGCATGGAAGCCGCCGATGTGTTCCTCCCGGTTATCGCCTGGTGCAGAACGAGGCAGTCTCAGGACAGCCAGGCCGAGGCTCGGCGACAGAAGCGCCGCCTGAAGCTGCTCGCATTTCAGCAGCTGCGCCTCAAGAAGCTCCGCGAAACATGGAGGCTGAGAGAAAAAGTCTACAAACAGAGTAAACTACGTCGCCTCTGTTCTCATGACACATGGATGAAAGCGGTAAGAGCTGCAAATATAATTCCTGTTTATTATTATTATCAACACAGTTACTTTTTTATACAGTGAGGTAAATGTGCATGTATGTCGTTCAGTATGCGTTTACAGGTGAATACGTCTGCATTTCCTGCCAAATACTAGCTTCAAAAAGATTAAAATATAATTAATGCAAATAAACTACTAGAAAAAAAAAGTAAGAGCTGGGACAATTTGTACTCACTCTAGTCTTATCCTAAAGTTTGCCACATTAGTTAAACCTATCCTAGACTTCCATGATGTATTTGGACTTTAAACAATCTAGTCTGGTTCACTCGGGGACCATCAAACATACAGTTGTGTTTTATCTGGAGAATATTTTTAATTAGCCTGTCTTGAATAGATTTGAGTGTTTTTTCTTTTTTCATAACAATAGTTATTAAAAGTTAGCCGATTCCAAATATATTCATCATTGTATTACTAAACTAGACATGGACAAATATATTTGTATTAAATGCTGGTCAATTTTATTTTTTATAGGAATAATTTTTCATTGTAAAATGTAATATAAAAAACAGATGTGCCCTACTTGCCCAGTGTAGCAGGTTAATACTAGTATTTATTATTTTGGAGTCACAGGGTCACATGACAAAAATAATGTATTCATCTATTTTCAATAAAAATCTGCAGAATTATGAAAATATAAAATAGGAAAAGTCCATAAACAAAAAAAAAAGAGCAAATGAGCTAACAGTCCTCTCCGAAGTAATTTCCCCATGGTCCGGTGAGTCTCTGTATTATAATAGAACAGGTCCTTCACCATAATGATAAAATGTCAGATGATGCAAGTATATTTTTGTGAGCAAGAAATGCAAGGCAAGTTTATTTATGTGGCACATTTAAACAAGCCAATTGAAAGTGCTTTATTAAACACATTAAAGATATCACCATTGTAAAAGGACATTTAGCAAATACAAACAGTCGTTGAAGAGCTAAGAGAATATAAAAAACACAATAGGACGGGTATACATTTCATTATTTAGTCGTTTCTCTTGTTACTACTTTTAATAATGAATTGCCCATCCATAGTTTATAGGAAAACATGCTATGTAGTGTATTCAGGGCCACACTGTGTGCTTTCAGTTATTTCCTGTCCTCACTTCCAGTATTAAACACTTGCTTGTCTTCCCATTCCAACCAGATAACACATCAGTTCTTGAGGGATCGCAGGCAACAAAGCCCCAAAGTGTGGCTTCACCCTCGGACCAGCGACTGGTGGGAGAACACAGCAGCTACTTTCACAGATCACGAGTGGCTGCAGCATTTTAGAGTATCGAGAGAGACCTTCTCCTACCTCTGCACAACGTTAAATCCACAGTTGAAGAGGCAGGACACCAATTATCGCCTCTGCATCCCCTTAGAGAAGAGAGTGGCGTTGACTCTCTATAAATTGGCCCACCCCTGTGACTACAGAACTGTGTCAGATCTCTTTGCTGTGGGGGTGGCGTCTGTTTGCCACAGTGTGCATGAGTTTTGCACAGCGGTCATTGAAGTGCTTAAACCGCAGCTTGTTGTGACGCCCAACAAATTTCAACTTGAGAACATTGAAGAATGTTTCTATCACACATATCAGATTCCTCAGTGTATTGGAGTACTTGACAGCATGAACATCACCATCAGCAGACCGCCACATCTCGACTCTGAGAAACCTGATAGAGAAAGTTATCTTGCTATCTTATTTCAAGCAGTTGTTGATGACAAAGGCCTGTTCTGGGACCTGAGCATGAGCTGCCCAACGTGGGTGAATGATAACAGTGGAGAGTTATTGGTATGTGAGGATTTCTCCACCAGGATGCACAATGTCTGTAGAACTGACAGTAGCTGTGTTGTTATTGGTGATGCTGGATATCCTTCTAAAAACTGGCTTCTCAAACCAAGCACCAATACAAGCTGGCTGACTGCAGAGCAAGAGCTGCTTAATACTCAGATTATTGCAGCGCGCAGTGTGGCCCATTATGCTTTTGAGAGGCTGAAGGGTAGGTGGAGGTGCCTGAACAGACGAAATGACTGCAATGTGGAGATTGTCAAGGACATGGTAGAGACATGCTGTGTGCTTCATAATCTCTGTGAGAGAAACAACGATATGTGCCTTCCAGACTGGATCGGTCAAGAGCCACTTCAGACTGTTGATGAAAACCCTCAAAAGAATAGTGACGCAGAGTCATTAGATGATTTGCAGCAGCTGATACAGGACAGTGCAGAATAATATCCTCACATGTCACTACCCACCCTTACATCACCAAAGGTGGTCATCATTTTCCAGGCATATCTGAGTGGTTGGATATGTCTTATTTATTTCAGTCAATTAAAGACAACTTTTGATTGACTGTTAACTTTGTATACCTGTGCCAAAGAGAGATTGTATAAACCACGAATAAATATCTTCATACATATATTTTGCTGAGTGCCTTTACTTACAGTATGCTGCGGTGTTTTTTTCTCCAAGTTACGGAAAGGTTTAGAAAAAGAAACTAAAATCTTACACAAAAAAATATGCATTTCACTTGTACCTATACTCATTGGAATTCCACTGAAATATTTTGCCAACACATCCAAAAAACGATACAATGAGCTATATGATGTGCACACTTCTCAGTGGTAAAACTCTAAACAAAAATAGTTCGAGGCTGTTGGGTTGTACATTGATTGACTCATTTAATACACTAACTTAAATACAAGCTTTTAATAAGTCAAATACCATTGGTCCATTGCTATCCTGGCAACAAAAATTAATCATTCACAAGAAAAGGCATATGACATTACAAAGCAGCAGGGTCCTTTGAAATAATCTTTGCAATTTGCATCAGGCAAGAGGTCAGCAGCTCACTGTCTTTACTTCGAGCCTCCATCTCCTCACGCCTCAGTGTCTCCTCTCTTTCTGCTTCCTCTCGACGTAGAGCCAGCTCCTGCTGCATCTCCTCACGCCTCAGCTGAGCTTCCCTCTCCCACTCCTCCCTCCTCTGCTCCTGCTCCATCTCCAGCCACTGCCTGTGGCACTCTGTCATAGCACTGAGAAACTCTTTTGTAGTGGTAGTGTCACTGTCAGCCTTCCGTTTATGAGCAACTGCAAGAACAGAGAACCTGTCAATCATCTGCGTTGTTTCAAATGCTTTTTTAATAAAAAACGTTTTCCATTACTTATAGCAGGCTATCATATGTTATGGTCCAATATCCATGTGAACCTGATTCAGATAATGAATTAACCTTATATTAATTGCAATTAATAGGTTTCAATGGAATCCAGGGGTGTTTTAGTGTTTATTTTTACTTAAAGCATTACAGCAGGGGTGTCCAAACTACGGCCCGGGGGCCAAATGCGGCCCATTTTGAATCGGCCCTCAGCAAATTCAAAAAGTACAATGGAATATGGCCCACAAATAAAACTTGTGCTTGTCTTATATTGTACTTCTTAACTATAAATGTAAAAATACATTACACACTAGTATTCATGTGTTAAGACAACTTTTCAAATAAATTCAGTCAATTAAAGTTGGAAACATTTTCTAACATATCTTAGTTGATAAGAAAAAAGCCCAATGACCTATTTACATAACAAGCTTCAAATACACCCTTCCTATTTCTCCTTATTATAATCAATCGGAGGCTTCTGTTTTAAGGGATGAACTGCCAACACTCACAAGCATCATTTACCTACATTTGATTGATTTTGCCAACTTATAACTGAACTTATGAGGCAATATACCTCTAGTGAGTGGCCCAGCCCTTCGTATATTTTTCTGTATGTGGCCCCTGCATTACAGCAATTCTCAAGTTTGATATAAATTGGGAGGGAGCCTAACTGGGGAAACACCAGGGGAGCCCGGGGGACAGGACTACTGTTTGACTTACCTGATCTGACTCTTCTTTTAAAGGCAGAGGACCTGCCGCTCTCTGTAGTGTGGGATTTGACTGTTAAGAACAAAGGCCATTGGTTAAATCAAGTTACATTTGACACTGATCAGTAGTGCCAGAGAAATTGTGTTAAATGTTAACTCTCTTGGTTGCTTGCATACAATATTTGAAGGCTTGAAGCACCGTGCTAGAGTATAAGCCCTGCTTTGAACATACAAATAATTGGACCTGCAGCAGTTTTATACATTTAATTAAGGAGACATAAGGTAAAATTATGTAAATTGAGGATTCCCTATTCCTTTTTTGTTAGTATATTTATCTAAAGTCGCAGACCATACATTTCATCTGAGAAAACAAGCCATTGTCCAAAGGTGAAGTTACCTTCTGCTTCTGGCTCCCAAGGAGCAATAAGGCCTTTGGGAGTTTCACTGGTCCCCAGCTCACCCTCTGCCCCACCTCGTCTTCCGAGCACACTATCCATTAATTTGAAAAAAGGGAAAGGTTTTCGTCCAATGATCTTAGAAGTCTTATACATATGTCTCATCTTTTTGAGTTTGTCCCTCACTTGGGTGGCTGTGCGCTGGATACCTAACTTTGCCAACCCTTCTACCATGAACTGACTAACTTCTTCCCTGATACATGTGCCCTCCATTTGTTGCTGCACATCTTCGTCAGCCCATATGTTTAGCAAGGCTTTTGTTTCACTCATTGACCAATACTGGCGGCTAGTGGACATTATGAGGGGGCCTTCCATTTAAGCACCGAGATGGACCGCACGAAGTCCACCGATAGTTCTCCCGTTCTAGCTCCGTACTTGCGCACTTCTTGTTCGGTACCGGTTTTTCTTTTCAGCTCCCGTTTTGTTCACACCGCCCAGAGCCCGAGATGTGTTGCGTCATCATTTGCGTCATGACGTAATCGTTTACGTGCCTGCTTCATTAGCCAAACCGCGCGGAAACCCGGTGGCTGTCGGTAAACTTTAGCTATTATTGCCAGGTCTGTCGATAGCTACATGGTTTAGTTTATGTTGTAAAACTAAAAGTCACAAATAAAACAAATCGGTAATGCATAACTCACCAGCATCAGATGAGCTCCGCACATTCATTGTCTCGTCCAACACAATCGACTCGAGAGAGAGCGAGTTAACTGTGGATCCAAAACCACTCGTCGGTCTGTCTCCGAGGACAGAGTCTAGCAAGTCATAATGTGGACTTGTTTTCGGATGACCACTGCCACTCCGTCCGAGGTCTCGCTTTTGGTCCCAATAATCCTTCTTAACTTTTTTCAGTTTGTTGCAAATCTGTTCCACGGTACGGTCATAACCAGCGGTTGCCATCTCTCGCTGCAAATGCTGAAACATTGCTTTGGACCGCGTGCTCCCCTCCAGCTTCCTCTGTACCTCTTGGGAAGACCAGATTCCCAGTAGGTAGCTGGTCTCTTCAGTGGACCACTGCTGTTTAACTTTGGGGTTTTCCATCGTTATGTACAAACTGGACAAAACGTGGGCTTGTTGTTGTTCAGGAGGTTGATCCTGCCCCGGCTCCGCTGCGGTGTGAACAGGAAAAACCGGTGCTTATCCGGCCAACAACTAGGATAAACACGCAGACAGGCTGCTTTCAATGTTCCTCGGTAATCTTGTAAACGTTTCGGTTGAAGAATGACAACTTTGTGTTGACGATTACATTCTAATGAAATCCTCAAATAACAAATAACCCTTATTTATTAGAAGGGACATTTACATTTGTTTATAATTGTTTGATCATTTCGGTTGATTCAATGTGTCTCGACATAAATTATCATACATTTTTCAGTTCCTGTGATAATAAAGCCCGTGTCCACTGTCTATAATAATCTGTGTCCCTCCCTCATTAAAAGAAACCCATGAAACCCATCTAAAGCACATCATTCCCACTGCCATTACAGTAGAAAAAGTGTAAAGTGAAATTATTCAATCAACTAAATGGGAGACACCAATTTTCCGATAATCATGAAGGCAGCATTATTACCTCGTGACATTTTACGCTGAAGGACGCAAGGGGTGGAACCGCGAAGCTAGTAGCAACTCTTAGCATAGCCGATCTTAGACTAGCTATGTGAGCGCATTACAACCAAAATAGAGCATTTCAACGTCGTTCTTTATGTTGTTAGATAACGTTATATAACCACACTTGGTTATGATTGGGTAGAGCAACAAAATACAAACGTTCGTCAACTGGTTTTAATTATATCGGATCGTCATGGATGCAGTGAACGCGTTCAACATGGAGGTACAGTTTGCTCGTGTTATAGCCCAGTCCATAGAGCTAAAGACGAAGGCTAACGCAAACAAATGTTAAACGTCAACCCTGCCTTATTTGTCAGATTACTAATCTTATAGAAACCTTAATTAACCTAAGCAATTGATTTGTTCAATGTTGGCTGGTCAGTTAAAGCGTAGCGTCAAACATGGCTTGATTGGATTTGTTAGCTGCTAGCTTAAATCGAGTTCAACGTTAATCTAGAAGGCCTATGATTGTAGTGTCTATCTTAATGTTAACGTGCGACGCCAATAAATTGTCAGGATGTATTTGTGGTTAGGAAAGAAGCTGTATCGCTATATCCCGCTCCCATACAATTATCTATGTGTAAAATAAAGCTGCCGTTAACACTAACTTAACGTCTGCTGGTACCGTTAGCACTGCTGCTAATGTTACTATTTTGAGAGGCATATCAACTGATATCAATAAGTGTTATACTATTGTTGCCACGCTAGGACTCTGGACTGTGCCTTGTTGTGTTATTTGAATGTGTGTGTCGTTAGGTAGGTCATATTAACCTGACGGCTGCTTTAAAAACGTATTGTGATGCTCCAGACACAAACCTACGTACAATTTAGAGTACAAACCGATGTGTTGTCAGACTGGTTTTAACAACTAACATTCATATCATATTTTTGACACATTCTTGAAGAAGTTTAGGTATTTTTTATTTCAGAGATACGGTAATGTTGAAAATTGGCTTAAACATTTGTATTGTATGTTAATAAGCAATAGCTAAACAATTCAGGAGGTCTTCTCTCACACATATACGTCCTCTCTTTTTCACATACTATTTAATATCATTATATAATCTAAGTTGTTGTGTTTTCCCAACTGTAAAAACACAAATCGTGTTATTGTTCTGCATGCAAGACATATTGCTAAATCCCAGTTTTTTTTTTAGAGTGCAACAATCTGTTTTACTTTATGTCAGGTATTCTGGATATGTAGGTTTATGAAAACAAAGATTGTCTTGGCACCTGGAAAAATCGTGTTCAATTATATTCCGAGTTTGCTGTTGCAAAATGTTCTTTTATCAACTTGTGATATATAGTTGCAATTTACAGTAGTTTAGTGGTGTCTGTTACCTGTAGCGTGACATTATCTTTTCCAATGTTTTTTAACACAATTTTTTATTTGAAATGAATACATGTTGTTTTGTTTACATCCAATCAGCTGTTTTCCATGATTGACATGAAGCCTCCAATATCCCGTGCAAAGATGATGTCTGTAACAAAATCAGCCATCAAAGCCATCAAGGTAAAGTGAAATACTGTATGACTGTTGGAATCAACTTATGTTGTTGTCACACATTTGCAGTTAATAACTGACAGATGAGAAGTTTCCTTGTTCGTGCTACATATTTGTATCTTTCTTTATTATCTTTCCATTTTTCTCAAGGGTATTTGATAATAGTTGAAACAGTTTGAAAGCTTTCTTCTCCAAGGTATCATATTTGAGTGAGTGCATAAAGTAAAACAAATATATTTGGAGAAGCCCTTACTTTCTTGCAATCCCAATTTTTGAATTGTCCCTTTTTGGGACGTGATGTTTCCAAAGACATCAATGAACCTAACTTTAGATTCAAGATTCAAGGCTTTATTGTCATATGCACAGCAGCTACAGTGTAGATATGTCAATGAAAAACTGAAGTCCCAGCCGGCTCCTCCAACAATGCAACATGAATATATATAGGACATACAACAGATAAAACCAAAAAAACAGTGCAAATGAATGTTGCAAGATGTGCAAGTGAATACAAATAAAATAGAAATAGTGCAAGAAGAGTCTAGACGCGTAAATGGAATATGATTTATAGATAAATAAATAAATAGCAAGATGCAAACAGATTAATTCTTTATGAAGGCACTTTACAGAGCTCAGGAGTTTAATAGGCTTACGACCTGTGGAATGAAACTGTCTCTGAGTCGGGTGGTTATTGTCCTGATGCTGCGGTATATACCGCCTGCCAGACGGCGGCAGACCGGTGAAATGTGATGTTTATTTGGTCAATTTAGGCAACACATTTGGTATCAATGTACATGATTTAATCACAATATGATTCTATTTAAAGAAGATCAAATATTATATTGAATTTTTGGCCAGCCCTTATTTTAACATTACCATTTTCATCCGTCTATTGTCATACTTTTTGAAGTTGTCTCTAATATACTGTGTCTGATGTTTTTTCTTCTCTTTTAATAGCTTTACAAACATGTTGTCCAGATTGTTGAAAAGTTCATCAAGAAGGTATGTATTACAGTGCCTCTTACTGTGAATTATATTGAACATTTACAAATCAAGTGCACTTTACACTTGCCATTAGTCATGAGATAAAATGAATGAAATGTTTTTGTTTGTGTGTTTCCAATAGTGCAAGCCAGAATTAAAAGTCCCTGGCTTGTACGTGGTGGATTCTATTGTTCGACAGTCGCGTCATCAGTTTGGAGTTGAGAAGGATGTGTTTGGGCCCAGATTCTTGAAGAACTTCACAGATACCTTCCTAAACCTTTACCACTGCTCAGAAGATGATAAGGTACTCCATGGTTGTGCTCGGTATTTTATACAATAACATGTGAAAGGGAAATTTGTCACGTGTGTGATTGCTATTTTTCTCTTCATCAGACTAAAATTCTTCGCGTGCTGAACCTGTGGGAGAAGAATGGTGTGTTCGACATGGACATCATTCAGCCTCTGATGGATATGTGCAATGGAACCATTGTTCCTGCCCCTGCACTACAAGGTAGAGAAAAGCACATGATTATCTTTTTGGCAATTTGGAATGTTTATAAAAAATGTACTGAATGTCGCCTGGAAGTAAAGACAAGTGAAGTTGTAATCCACCGTTTGATGAACTGCATGCAATATCACAAAGATGTGTCAATCTTTTTCTTGGATCTTGACAGTTGCCACTCACCCCCAACCAGAGACACACCTTCCCGTCACTAGTGCCTCAGTTGTGTCTGCTGTGCCTCAGCTACCCACTCCTGATGCCTTAGCTGCTGTGGCCCAGTTATTTCAGTCCCCCCATGGTCTAGAGGTAAGCATACGTCAGTTTAAGTTCTCAGTCAGTTCTGCATAATGAGAAGTACGGCATTGTTTGAAATTTGAATGTCTTGTCTCCCCCTTCTTCCAGCTGCAGAGGATGCTTCAGAACTTCCAGCAGGCAGATAAGACCCGGGCAGAGTCCATCACAAACACCTTACCAAACCCAGCACAGCCCATGCCAGTGGCCCAGCTCAACCCGTACAATGAACACACTGAAAATAGAAACTCTTTAGCTGAGGTAAAAGCATTGCTCAGTGTCACATCATAACCAGCTGTTCTCTTTTACATTTACCTAACTGTAATGTACATTTTTCCTCAGAAACTCCTGGACAGATTTGACTATGACGATGAACCTGAGGATATGATCGCCAAAGAAGGCAGTGCCCAGTCGCAGTGAGTTTCTGGATTTATGCCTCCAGTGAAAATGGACTTTTCAATGTAGCAGGAAACATCTCTTGTCCAGAATTTTAACTTCATCAATTCTGGATCTTTAAATTAGATTAATGAGTAGATGTTATTCAAAGAACTTCTAACCCGATATTTGAATTATTTGTTTGTAAAACCATATCCACAAAGGCTGTGGAGCTGGAAACCCAAAATGAATGTTCACCTGAATAATGTTAATATTAACACCTATGCATGCAAATTAGTCGCTTTTTGGCGCCTCCCGCTTTTTTAGCGCTGATTTGGGTGACTGGTGTAATTCGTGGAGAACTACCAAAACGAAGAGTTTTCGTTTTGGGGGGGGGGGGTTGGACTGACAACTTCTCACTTCAAAAACATTTAAAGAAATCTAGACCGCAAAAGAATGAAACAAGCGAGTGCCTGTTTTTCCTGGCCAAGGACAGGTTCCTTGAACACAACACGAGCGTAACGTGTCATCACGTGGTGTAGTGCTGACGGAGAGCACCGGAACCCCGCTCCAGCACTTCAAATATTGCAGTACCCATAAGGAGCTGTACACATGCCGCAGTTTTTGCATGGCTGTGTCTTTAGTTGTAAGCCCAGTGGCGATCTGTTGTTATTAGCATCTGGTTAGCTAGCTATGCTAACGAATTTAAAGAGCTTTTTCTACAACCAGGTGGAAGATTGCTCTCTCCTGACAGACTGAGAGGCTCAAATAACCTCAGCTCAGTGAGGTTAAGGCACACCTTGATATGATCATTATAGTTATAAAAAAATAAGAGACTAAATGAAAAAACAGGTATAAAATACTATATGACGGTAACAAAAAAGTTGTTAAAAATAACATGAGTACAGTTTGAAAGCGGAGTGATTTGTAAAATATCCATAAAGAAAAAGAAAAATCTGCTTACAATTTCATATGGGTGTTGAGAGATGTATCCATAGATCTCTTCCTTTTGCTCTCAAAGTGCACCAGATTGATGCTTTTAACTTCAACATTTAAAAGAACTGAAATGATGTCCACATGGATAGGAAACTAAATACATCTTGTGTCCATATCTGTCTGTTTTGGTGGTCATGCCACAACCGTGCACATGCATGCATGCGAGAGTCATGTTAAGATATCTGGATTAAGAGGTTGCTTTTTCTTTGCACAGAATGAAAGAAAGGCAAAATGAATGGGCTGTGATTTTAGTTTTTTTTAAGCAGAGGTTGAGTTCAGTAATTTGCACGGCCCTTGGAGGATGTTGTAAAAATTGAAGTGGCCCTTGAGAGGGAAAAGGTTCCCCACCCCTGCTGTAAATAATAATAAAAACCCTTCATTTATAAATTAACATCTCTGTCTCCTATTGATCGGAGTATATTATAAAGAATAGCCAGTTAATTGAAGCATTATTTATAGCACAGGCCTTTGTCAGATGGTACATTACGCTGTTTTTTTTCTGCTTCGAATAGTTCTCTCTTTTTTCACCATACGTGTGTTTGCATCCTTGCCTATGCTTTTCTTGCTTGTCAAAATATATGCCTTGAATAAAGCCTAGATTTATTATTGTTAAGGTGACATTTATTTTTTGTGCTTTACTGCTTTGTAGGTCTTTCATACCCAAACTCACAATTTGTATATATTTTGTCATTACAGAGGCATCCCTGGACATGTGTTTAACCATCTTCCTGGCCAGATGCCCAACACAGATACTGTTCATCCACATATGACGGGACAGGTCGGTGGTGTAGAGGTAACCAAGTACAAGTGCTTTATATAATTACTCAACTCACTTTTCAATATAGCAAAGCTCGCAAACCAGCATGTGCCCACAATTATGATGCCTGTTAAACAATTTGTCCAATGTGGTGTCAGCCAAACGATAAGATAATGATGAGGTGAGAGAGTAATTGTGTAGAACTGCCTTATTTATTTAATCGTTTATTTGGCAGGGGCAATGCACAGTAATGAACACTTCAAACATTAAAATGTGTCAAGCGTAACAGTGCCAGATTTAGCTTTGAGCTAGTTTCCATCCGCAGTCCCTCAGTTAAAGTTTACTGTATTCAATGATTCTGTGGTATCTGTTTTTTTTCAACTATCTTTTGCGGCTGTCTCTTTGTCATCCCTCAGCACGGTGGAGGGTTGAGTCATGATGAACAGCATATGATGAACGATGGATACCGTTCCATAAATGAGGGTTATTCACAAACAAGGGTAAATCTTCACACCTTGTTTAGTTCAACCTGATTAAATGCTCTCCTTAGTGCCATTGTTGGCTCACATTGAATTTGTGAAAAATAAAATTGTGATGTCATCATTGTCTTAAAGGAAAGTTCAAGAGAAGACTCATCTATGAGGCGGGAGGGCAGACACCGAGGCTATGGCAGGAGATCAAGATCCAGATCTGGCTCAAGGTAAGAGGCTGTGTTCATAGCAAATAATCAGTGTAATCATTGTTTATCTTTAGGGCTGTGCATCTTCACTGGACTCACGATTCGATTACGATTATCCTGTCCACGATTCGATATCACGATGCATAACAATGCGTTGCATCCTCCATTTTCTATATTACTGCACATGGCTTCTTTTTCATCAATGAATACATGCAGTAAGATAAATATGAACTCCCTTTTTATTATTTAGAAAGTGCGTCAGAAATCAATAACATAAATGTCTTGACATTCAATTATAAACCAATATTTGTATAGCTATTGTATAGCTCTAGCCTCCTTATATCTGTGTGTGAAATTGTTCCATCCTCAAAAACCAAAAACTAATACTTCTGCAGTCTAGCTGCAGCTTCTAGCATCGGTCTTCTGTTAAAAAAGGACACCGAATGTCCTGAATGTGGCATCACACACATGACTTAAGTCTGAACACAGCAGACAACAGGAGTATTTACAACAGCATATACAAACAGAAATAGTGCATGTGGGTGCACACTTACATTCTCTGTCTTACTGTTACATAAATCCTATTAATGTATGAGATTAAGTGAGCTTCATCATATCTCAAATCAGAGATCAACATTTGTTTAAGTGAATAACGTTTCTATCGGGTCACTATCAGCCTGTCACTCATTATTTTCAGGGGGGGGGCGGGTTTGGAGGAACAGAGAGGAAACGGTGATCGTGGAAGCTTTCCTCCTGCCTTCACAAACTTTACAGACATATTTATCGTCTGAAAATAGCAAGGGGACATTCATACTCTGCAATCCAAGACTTTATTAAATCCACCAAAAACCTGACATGATGGTAACGCGAGTATCTTTCTAAAACATAAATCCATGTGTGTCTCTGAGCCGCAGCGTCACGGACTGATTCAGAGCGGGTCATTCTGCTGTTGGTTCTGGACTGATTCAGAGCGGGTCATTCTGCCTGTTGGTTCTGGACTGGTTCAGAGCGGGTCATTCCGCCTGTTGGTTCTGGACTGATTCAGAGCGGGTCATTCTGCCTGTTGATTCTGGACTGATTCAGAGCGGGTCATTCTGCCTGTTGGTTCTGGACTGATTCAGAGCGGGTCATTCTGCCTGTTGGTTCTGGACTGATTCAGAGCGGGTCATTCTGCCTGTTGGTTCTGGACTGATTCAGAGCGGGTCATTCCGCCTGTTGGTTCTGGACTGGTTCAGAGCGGGTCATTCTGCCTGTTGGTTCTGGACTGATTCAGAGCGGGTCATTCTGCCTGTTGGTTCTGGACTGATTCAGAGCGGGTCATTCTGCCTGTTGGTTCTGGACTGATTCAGAGCGGGTCATTCCGCCTGTTGGTTCTGGACTGGTTCAGAGCGGGTCATTCTGCCTGTTGGTTCTGGACTGATTCAGAGCGGGTCATTCCGCCTGTTGGTTCTGGACTGGTTCAGAGCGGGTCATTCCGCCTGTTGGTTCTGGACTGGTGTTGCTGGAGAAAGCTGCTCCATGTTTGGTGTCGCTGTGCCGATGTCACGTTTGTTCCTTGATCTCTGCGTCACCGATCGCTTGGATATTCGTATGACAAAAAAAAGAAACGTTATTGTCCAGCTGCGGCCGGAAAATCAAGAAGCAACGTTATTACGCTATAATCGATTATGTTCTGTCACTGCATCGATGCAGAATCGTCCGCATCGCGATGCATCGTAGAAACTATTAATTTCAACACCCCTATTTATCGTGGCACATTTTACACCTGCTAAAAGCCTATTTCATAACTACTGTTTATGGGTTTTAAGACAATATTAGATCAACCGTTGCAATAGTCAATGCATTCTAAGTATTAGAGTTACACATCAGAAAGCATGTAGCGGTTATTGAAGGGCAACCCATTATCCCATTACTCTGTCTTCATATTGGACACTACTAAGTAAATGGTGAAAGGATTTCCTCCCAGGAATTTAATTCTATGTGAACAACATATTTCAGCTGGTTTTTGTGTGTGTTTCAGATCTCCCAAGAGAAGAAGGTCAAGATCTTCATCCCGCTCAAGAAGGCCAAGGCACCGGCGCTCTAACTCTCGCTCCAAAGAACAGCACTTGAGATCTCGCTCTGGTTCTCAGGACAGGAATGAAAGGGAGAAGGACAGAGAGCGCAGACAGAAAGGCCTTCCCAGCATAAAGAGCCAGACACTCAGTGGTAAGTGCTAACAGAAATAAACCTGTCAATGTAATTTATGATATATATAAAGTACACAAAACAGTGATTTACTGAAGCACCTTTACCTCATCAAAATGCAAAACAAAGCTACAGAAACACAACATTGAAACCAAACACTTGCAATAGCAAAGCTCATTGAGTCAATGAGTCGCAGACTTCAAGGAAAACTTTATTTCACGTCATTCTAATATTTACTTTTTACTTTTTCTTTAAAAAAATAATGTTGAAGCATAGCACAGACATGTACAGTACAACTGCCAGCGCCTGTTATCTTGCACACTCTGGAGTTGTTTACTTGTCAGAATCCTTTTTGTATTTAGATAAGAAGCGGAACATATGTTTAGGTGTATAAAGTCAACACTATGTGTCAAATAAACATTGTGTACATCATTTCAAAGCTGGAAACTTAAGATTATTTGCGATGCAGCTGTTCACTAATCAGAAATAGGAATTTGCGTATCGATTCAACTAAATTGTCAAGTAGTTTATCAGGTGTGAGAACATTGCGATCCAAGTGTACAATGGCCATTTCAATGCTTTATTATGTGTCATAAATTGTTGCAGGAGTCTTTAGAATTGACACAAATGGTCAGATATTCCTGCAAAATTTCATCTCCACGCTAATATCATATTAAAGTTTTGACATTTGGCTATTTATACAGGGATGCAAACTTGTCACCTTTTGGCGAAAATCGCCGTTTTGAATCCAAAATAGGTCGTTTGTGTGATTCATGTAGATCTGCAATAAAAATATTTTTGGGGTATGGGGGGGGTCTGGGACCCGGAGTAATCTGCCGCGAGCTGTTATGTGCCATCATGACACGCATGGTGTTCTTTTTTTATATATTATAATGAAGCGTGAGCTGTGTGCTCGAGTCTTCCTGCCTGTCGGCTCTGCTCATCGATGTATAATAAGGCTCTGCTGCTCCGCCTCCGCGATGATGGTCTAGCTTCAGAATCTACGGGTGCGTTCGTTAATATTAACTGTGCGGTCCGGAGTCACAGTGGCACAGACTGGACCGCTGGTGAACAGCTGTTAGAACGGGCCGTTCAGGTGTTCAGAGCAGAGCTCCCTGTCGGAGCGGCAGAGCGTGATGTGCACTGAAAAGTTTTTCTGTCGCAATATTATCGTTGAGCTAGCTAACTAGCATACATTGTCACTATCTGCTAACGTTAGCTTTAGCCTTCGTTTTCTAATAGTTTTTTTCATAGGCTATAAACGGAGGTGGTATAAGTATAGATCTTGTACTCGATTAAAAGTAGAAGTACTTAGATCTTGTACTAGAGTAAACGTAGAAGTACTCAGATCTTGTACTTGAGTGAAAGTAGAAGTACTCAGATCTTGTACTTGAGTAAAAGTAGAAGTACTCAGATCTTGTACTTGATTAAAAGTAGAAGTACTCAGATCTTGTACTTGAGTAAAAGTAGAAGTACTCAGGTTTGAGTAAAAGTACCAGAGTGTAGGAACAATCCTGCAATCAAAATGTTCCTCAAATAAAAGTACAAAAGTATTATCATCAAAATATAGTTAAAGTAGCGACAGTAAAAGTAGAAGTACTCAGGTCTTGTACTTGAGTAAAAGTAGAAGTACCAGAGTGTAGGAATACTCTGTTACAGTAAAAGTACTGCATTCAAAATGTTCCTCAAGTAAAAGTATTATCATCAAAATATAGTTAAAGTAGCGACAGTAAAAGTATTGATTGTGCAGATTGGTCCATTCCAGAATAATATATATGATATGTTTTATAATTGATCATTAAAGTGTTCTCAAAGCTGGTAAAGGTGCAGCTAGTTTGAATGACTTTGTATACTGCAGGGTAGCTTGTGAATTTACTCCAGGTGGAACTAAAGTCTGATTTAACACTTGATTATATTTCACATCATTCATCCACATCTGTAAAGTAACTAAAGGTATTACATACATGTAGAGGAGTACAAGTACAGCATTTACCTCTGAATTGTAGAGGAGTAGAAGAACAAAGTAGCAAAGATTGAAATACTTAAAGGGGACCTATCATGCAAAATGCACTTTTGTACGTCTTTTATACATGAATATGTGTCCCCGGTGTTCCAGGGAACTCATCAAGTGTCAGAAAACACAACCCTCTCTATTTTCCTCCATACCCAAATCTCTAAAAATGGGGCTGCAACGGATCTGATAAAAACTGATCCAGATTTGAACATTTCACTGACGTCAGGACGGTGGCGCTACGGCTATTGGGCCAACTCTCCACCTATCAGGGGAATGTGGGGTTGGGCCACGGCCGGCCATTGCCGCTCGAAAGCGCTGGATACGCTGTAGTACATATGCCAGGCCTGTAAGTGGCGCTGTAGTCTGCCACAAAAGCAGCGAAGAAGACTTCCTGCGCATGGTTGCCATGGTTGCCCTTCTGTTTATTCTCCGCTGTGGCTTTTTTTCTCCCTCCCCGAGGCAAGCGTTTGCTCCTGCTGCTGTAATTCAATGCAATCCCTCTCCGTCGAGGCAAGTACTGTAATTCTCTCCGGTTAGTCCACCAGCAGATGACAAACACCCACCTCTCCGCCTCTTCCAAGGAACGAGGGGACCGTGCGGCAGAGTTTCAGTTAGTTTTTTTTTCGCCGGTCAAGATGTCCGTTAAAGTTTAAATCTTCCGGACAAAATTAGAAAAGTGCCGGTCAAAGGTCTTCTTTGTTATTTATTGAGCTTTAAAACAAATGAATAACGACTCTATATAATAATATAATAAAACACGGAGGACGGAGATCTCTTTTTCTCCCCCTCTTCTGACAGCCCAGCAGCTGATCAGAGCACAGAATCAGCCCCCTGCAAAAACAGGGCTGGAAAGAGCAAATGGAGCGAAATGAGGCATGGCTAAAATGCAGGATCTGTTTGGTATTGTGAAAAAAAAACTATATTTATATACTTTATGTAGGTATGGCCCTACAATATATTGTTCAAATATAGCATGATAGGTCCACTTTAAATAAAGTACAAGTATCTCAAAATTGTACCCAAGTATAGTACTTGAGTTTATGAACTTAGTTACTTTACACCGCTGGCTATAAAGATAGAAAGACTAAGCCTTGTACAGAGGCATGAAAATACATTTTCAAAATGCTCAACAGTCCTGCCAAAATTATAAACTGACTGCTACACAATTAAAATAAATGCTTTTATATATTTATATTAGATGTGACTCTTTGGCGTTTCTGTTATTATTAACACTGCTGCTTTAGTTGTTCTGACTGCTAAAATTCTCTGTTATTCCTCATTTTAAAGCTGATATTCCGTGGGGTCGGGGGGCTCGGATCCTTGTCACCTTTTTCATACCTGATGAGTTTGCATCCCTGTTATAAAAGTTGCATTTGGTTATTGGCTGGCAAGCACTTATCATTTTATTTTTAATAAAGTTAGAAAAGCCACGCATTCCCTGCATTACCCATGTCTTTAGTTTGTGGATCTGTAGTTCTATGTAGTTTTAAAAACTGCATGGTTTTTGCCCCAAAATGCATGAGATCTTTCATTCAGATATCTTGAGATTAGAGGTCAACGGACCCCAGTGGATTTGGCCATGTCACTTTTACCACTTTTGCCAACATGTAGCCTCACTCCTGAGCGTTATTTGACCTCTTCCCCAACAAGCTAGCAAGACATGGTTGAACCTTCGAAAGACAAAGTCGAATTGTCCAAAGATCTGCTCCCATCGTCTTTTCCTATCCACTATTCCTTGACCTCTGTGTGAAACGTTAAGGGGAGAATTCAAAAGGACTTTAGGAGAAGAGACTGCACTTTGAGAAGTGCGACTGCACTTACACTGTCCGATGTATTTAAGATGCGCAAGCGGACGTCATAAATGTGCGTCTGCTGTGGGGAAACTACAGTTTTCTATACAGCGGACTACATGGATGTTTAATAAGAACGGCGGACCACTGTAAACGCATCTAGATACTTTGCACCGCGTTCTTGTGGTGTTGTTTTATGCTTTATGAACGGGGACAACAGACATTTCAGTGAAAGAGTAACGTTCATATTTCTCCTTTTGATTATTATAGTGTTGTATGTTCAAAACAAAGCTCTTTGGCAAGTTACCACATACTTTTTAAATAGCTTAAGTACTGTAACTTTCATGATATAATTTCTCGGTCATGATCCGTTGTTTCTGTGAACGGCCGAATGTTGTGTCACGGTAAATGTTGCGGCTGCAAGGCATTGTAGGACAGCATGTTCTCCTTTTCTTTCGTAAAGGAAGGTTCCTAAACTAAAGGAGGTTATAAAGGAAGTTTCAAAGCTCCTTTCCTAGCTCCTTTCCTATCATCTAGAGCAGGGATGGGCAAATGGCGGCCCAGATTAATTTATAATAGGGCTGTCAAGTTAACGCGTTAATAACTTGAAAAAAAAATGAACGCCACTAATTATTTTAACGCGATTAACGCATGTGTATTTTTTGTCCTCGGCCGCCCCGTAGTTTCAGAGCGCATCGAGTTTAAAATACCAGCTTGTAGATGGTATTTTAAACCGCATCAGCATCAGCTTGTGTGTGGAAGTGTGGTCTGCCGCCCGCTTGTGGCAGACCACACTTCCACGCTCACCGGCAGGCCCGGACTGGCCATCGGGAGGACCGGGAGGGTGTGTGTATGTGTGGCGCGAGCGAGGCACACCTTACGTGGTGTTGTTGTTAGCATCTGGTGCTAGCTAGCTGCGCTAACGGATATAAGGAGCTGTTTCAATGAAAACAGAGGAGCGACATTTCGCCGACAACTGCGCCGAGCACTTGACTTTATGCAGGTAGCCAGACAGTGGGACATTGTACGAAAAGTCAGCACACTCGGCACGGATACACGCAACATGATTGCAGCGTCCAGGCAGCTCCCGTTGGAGCATATATGCCTTGAGCTGCACATAGTTCCAACGATTCATCAGTGTCCACACACACACACACACACACACACACACACACACACACACACACACACACACACACACACACACACACACACACACACACACACACTTTATTGTATGAGAGAGGTTCCAGGTTGAATTGAGGCGAATATTTGTAATGTTCAGAGGTTGTTGTGTTTAATATTCATGAGAATATTTGTCATTGTTCAAATGATAATAAACAAACATATAAAGCATATTTAAACCACTCATATGTTGATAAGAGTATTAAAAACTTGAAAAATATCCCTCTAAGGTACATTTAGAACAGATAAAAAATGTGCGATTAACAATGGACAATCATGCGATTAAATATTTTAATCGACTGACAGCCCTAATTTATAAACAACGTAATTAATAAAAAAAAAAAAAAAAATTATTTTTATTTTTTTACTAGTAGTACTGATACCGTCCACTAGACTCCTAGTTACGTCGCGAGCTGCGTACATGATTTCGTTCGGCAGCCAAATACCGCAAAAATAATCTGTGACGTGTTTGTGTGTATTGTGTTTGTTTCCCGTGGAAACACTCACAAGAAACACCGGCTGTTATGCCTGCTGTGACGTTAAGTTGCCGCTTGTAATTATGCCTTTACAAGCTTAGAAGTTGTATTTATCATCTGAATTTGGCTAAAGAAGTTTAATATTCTAAAAACCAAGACTTTGTTTATTTGAAATCAGATGAAAACAAACTGTCACGGACCCTGCCGTGTTATCTATGATTACTATACGCTTTTCATTCATAATTTCAGTAGGAGGCAGGGGGAGCGGCACTGAGGAACAGCAGAGTGCGGGTTGACAGGTGTCTGTGTTGACATTCCCCTTATTGTGCGTCAGCATAGACAGGCTACAAGTGTCTTAGCTAGGTTCAAGTTAGACAACTAATGTCTGCGTTAGTGTTCATGACTTCATGTTTATGTCATCTTAATGGTTAATCTTAATGCACACACATTTTCCGTGCTTTCCAATAGTTTAAAATAGTTTTATTCCACTGTTAAATAACCTGTTCAATACAGACATGCCACTTCTAAAAATTAAATAACATTTCTGTGAACTGACATTTGTTTAGTGAGCTTATTAGAGGATGTTCCCTGGAAGATTGTCAAATGAAGATGTCAGACTTAGTATATTTGTTAATAATGACATACAATACATGGAATTTGTGTGTGTTCCAAGTGAATATGCGGCCCCCTGGTGGCCAGTACATACATTATGTGGCCCCCAACACCATCGAAGTTGCCCATCCCTGATCTAGAGAATTCAAACAGCTCTTATCATGGCTGCCACTGAGGTACTTCCGGGTCATTTCACTCCGTTAGGAAGGTTCCTAAGATAAAATGACAATACAACCGCAACCAAAATGTCAGCAGGGCCCAAGGTTCGTTAATTAAAATACCTAGATTTCCATGGCAACCAACATTTGCCTATCATTTCATTCATTCGGGTTGCCTAGGGCATCTGAGTAATAACCACTAAACAGTTTAAATTTAAATTCGAAGTCAACCATCTCTGACAACATATGCTAGTCAAATGTACAAGTTTTGAGCATTCAAATGTTTATAGAGGGTAGAGTTCAACTCAAATTAAGTCTCTTCCATGTTCCAAGCTGTCGCAAATACAATCTTTTGTCTTCAGTTTGCAGCACTACACTTTGGGTGGGACAGCTAGACAAGAAAACTCAGCAGCCGGACGTGATGTCCCTTTTGGAAGAGTTTGGCCAGATTGACTCCATCAATGTAAGTCTGAACAAATACACATTTATATTTTATTTATATATATATATATATATATATATATATATATATATATATATATATATATATAAATATATATAAATAATCCTTTGTGTTCTTGAGATAAAGTTATCACAATTGACTTTCTTTATTTCCAGATGATTCCTCCGAGGGGTTGTGCCTATATTGCTATGGTTCACAGACAAGATGCCAATACAGCATTGACCAAACTCAGCAGGGGCTCATACAAAGTCAATCAGAAACCTGTAAAGGTACATAAACATTTATTGAATTATTTCCATTGTTATATTTGTTCTACTGGTGATCTTTAACTTTCATTCTTGCTTAGATTGCTTGGGCTTTGAACAAAGGTATTAAGTCAGCGCACAAAAAGTTCTGGGATGTTGAACGTGGAGTTACCTACATCCCGTGGAATAAAGTCAAAGTTGACGAGTTGGAGACCTATCGGGAAGGGGGTATGCTGGACGTGGAGACACTAAATACAGGTAAACACTTACCCATACCTTAAGCATGGCCAATATTTACCTGCTGCTGGCTATTGGACCTTTTTTTAATCTAACGTTATCATGTATGTTCCATTGTGCACAGAGTGGAATTATGGCAAGGACATCAATAACAAGGCAGCTGTAAATGGAGACTTGGAGAGTGTCCCAGCAGATGGAACCGTCACTGCTCACATTCAGGTAATGTTAATAGTCTTTAAACGTTCTTTCTGATCTACATCTGCTCATTTTTTCTGGTATATTGGCCTTGGTATTGGATGCTTACTTCACAAGAGTTCTTGTGGAGGCTGTAAGGAAAATAAATTATTGTTGCATAGAAGTAGTGGAGCTTATCTGAACCACCCACTTATTTTTTTCAAAACCAAGTCACTGCAGACTGCCAACAACTTTTAAATAAAATAGGAAATAGTAAGATGGATCCATACAGGAAAATGTAAAAAATACATCATCAGGAAGACATTCTCTGCCAATCAAGGTTTACACATGGCAGCTGTCTCACGGACCGTCCACACAGCAGCGTTAAAAAATCTTGAAACGCTTCTGCCCATTCACTTTGAATGGGGTGACGTAACTTTCCCTCACTTTTCGCCGAACTGCATTGTGGGCAGGCGAGCGGAGATTTTCAGGATTTTCAGGATTGAAAGTTGAGCAATGTTCAACTTTTGAGGCTGAGGTGGAAGCGTCAGCCAATCAAATCCCGTGTACGCAAATCTGACAGTTCAAGCTCTAGCCAATCAAACGGCGTGTATGCTGGGAGAGACATACCGCAGGTCATTTCCTCATATTCCAAAAAATGGAGGAGAAATTAGCGGTAGGGAATCACCCGGTGCTTTATGACCAGTCCCTATTTACCTACCGGGATATAAACCGGAGGAGCCAGGCATGGAGGGAGGTGGCAGAGATAGTGGTATGTTTTCGCCTGTTTGGGGAGTTTATATCCAGTTTACTTCAAACTTTTTTGCTTCGTATGTCGGGGGCGGGAGATTCATGTGATTGGTTGTTGGTGCCTTGCTCGCAAAAAATCCCCAAGCTTCAGATACGCCCACCTCCAAGATTTTTTTAACGCTGCTGTGTGGACGCTCCGTAAGGCTTCAAAAAACGTTCAATAGGACTTGTATCGTGGACCAGGGGAAATACCCATTCCTACAATATTTGTAGTTCAGTGAAAGCACAGTTGGGTCATACATTACCATCTGAACATTACTGATGCCTTCGCTATTTTAATGTTGAAAGTAAAGGACATTTCAAGCAGATATGCTCGCTATTTTAAGCAAAATACAGATACAAAACATTGACGATGATTTTCAGTTTCAGACGTTTGCCATACATCTGTAGAATTAACTCAGTATTGATGCTTTCACCCACTGGCTTATTTTTGCAAAATCGTTTGAAAACGGACTGCCATCTGGTGTTGAGTGGGGACCTTGACCCTTGTCATATTAAGGTATCTCAAAGCGGCCGTAAACAGTCAAATGTTACAACGTACTGCCCAAGACGTAGAAAACCGTCTCAGTATTTTCAATGCTATCTGAGTATTTGGGAGTGCTGAATTAAAGTGAGAAATTGTCATGTTTGTGTCCTCAATAAATATCACAGTATTTACTCTAAGAGGGGTTTTCATCATGTGACTCATTGTTTACTTACATCATGGGTGGTTTCAGAGTGACAAAATAAAAGTCAAATCTGGTGATTTCTTTTATACATCCGACCACAATTCAGATAAGCTCTTCTGCTGATAGGCATTACATCCAGTAATGCTTATTCACACGTTTCTCTTTTCCTTTTATAAGAATTTGCATCTTCACTCAGTAACCGTGTACTGTGCAGTATAATTTATTCAAATAAAGTGGGAATTATTAAAAACTTTACTGTGGTATGTGTAGACGGAAGCATTTATGTGATCCTTTCTCTGTTCGGTATTTGACCTCTATAATACAGAATGTCTAGGTTTGGCAAGGTTGCCGGTAATTGTTTAAACAATGTTTAGTTTTAGTATCTAATTACAAAAAAATTGTAGAATGACAAAAACATATTTATAATATATAGTTGAGGTAAAATGTGTTTTGGTTGCAATGAGGTGAATCCTAAACTCAAGAATATACCAACTGATAATGAGTTGCAATTAAATTAAAGCACATCTCTGACGGGTCAAAATCTAAGTTTTAGTATTAGCAGTTTTGTAAACATTTCAAAGCCAATTACAAATTCATGACCACATTATGCCGAAAAATCCAGCTGCACTGTCTGCTACCTGCCATACTTGGCGTGCGTGCTCAACGGCACTCCTCTCTGTGAAGAAAGGTTGCTCACATGTCTTGCGGTCGAGGGTTTCTGACTGCTGTCGGCTGCTGGTGGGACTTAAGGGCCTGATTGGGAGGAAGTGTCCAAGTGGGAGACAAGGTAAGCCGAGAGCATCATTAGCAACATGTGCTAAATGTTGCACCAAACCCGTTTATGCAAACTGAACAGGAAGAATGATTTTTGTTTGTTGAGATGTTTTGGCAATGGGAATATTGCCTCACAAAGCAAGGCCGAGGCCATTGTTCAGACCCTGTGTCCATGTAATGCAGTTCATTCAGCAGGTTTCTGTGCTTTACTTTACACTGGACAGTGTAAGACAGGATCTTCAGTGTCTGCTGTTATTTACTCTCCAAAGTCCAAAGCGGCTCAATTACTCAAATCATTTGTGTGGCTCAGTCTTGTATATTAACAAAGCTCAGTCTTCCTGTTGACTTGTTAGCCACCTGATAATGAACAGAAACATTATTTGGCTCTTGTTTAGCTTACTTTAATTCTCAATGTAAAATATGATCAAGAAATAATTATAGCTAAGCCATCCTACAATGGTCTGTTTTTAACACATGCATTTGACCTTAATATTCAGGTTCACACCTGTGCAAGAAAGTCATGGCAAAAGTATTGAGGTTGGAGGAAATGAGTACTGCTCAGGCCTAACCCTATTTTTGATGACAATCTTCTTAAAGTAGAAATCTGTGTTCCTCACACTCAGATGATTTTCTTCTTACCCAACAACCCAAAAAATAGTTTTAGTTTTATTATTGCCTGTGGATTAAATGTTTTTATTTAGATTAACACCATTTCATGGAGTTGCAAGTTTAAAATCTTTCATTGGCACTTACATTTACTTGGATTAACTCTTTGTTTTTGCTGTAATGAAGGGTTGTGCCCAATTGTCAACTTTCTCAATCATGTTATATAAATATGTATTCTGTTTGTGGCCAAAATTGTCCTAGCGACTGTAAAAAATGCATGATTTCATTATTGTTGTTGTTCTTACTGTGGAACCTTTATCATAGTGCCAGGTCAGTGAGCAGGTTCCTAATACTGTGAAACTTCCCCAAACCCTTTCAAATGTCCTCCTCATTGAGAAGCTTTCAGTCCAAGGGACTGGTTTAATTTATTACACTATGCCATGAAAACCTACCCATTCCTCTGCTTTGCATTTGTGTAGTTCTCGACCTGAAGTTTGCATGTAAAAATAACATCCAACATGACCACACCTGCCAGTCACTTTATACTAAAGAATATAAAATATACATGCGAGCAACAGATCTAAAAGCACTGTTTTGATGACTAGAATAATATTATGTCTTCTATGTGTCAGCCATATCTTCAGTCAGCCAATATGTATAACTGAACTTCATCAAGCTCTCCATCTTCTTGAGGTTTGTTTATATTTTATTTCACCAGTTAACAGCTGCCATATTTTCTGTCTAATTATTTGACAAACAAAATGCTAATTTTGAATGTTCGTTAAGTCTTGAAGTGTTAAGCCTCCCTGTTTTTCTGAATTCCGTGCATTATGGGATTCTATAGAAATCTGCACATAGGCCTTCTAAATCCTCAGCATTATCACCTTATTAATTTTGTATCCAACACTACACAAAGTGGTCAGGCAGCCGGTGGCAAACATAATGAACACTGAACTTTCTTTATTTTCAAGGAAATGCCCCTATGATATAATTTTTGGGATTAAAGAAAGGACATTTGTTATTACCGGACATAATACTAACCGCCACCATTTTTGGCAGGTTTGGCCTTTTTGGTGTAGGTTATGGCACCTGCCACGTGAATTGTGCAAATCTAAAGATGTTTTTTCCTTCAGAGATACCTAATTTATGCATATACAGGTTTGACCTTCTGCGCTCTGCCTGTGCACATCATATACAAACCTGCAATTATTGCAGGATTACTTGATCAAGCATTATATAATACTTGGAACGTAATGCAAAACCCTTTAGTTTTCAGTTATCTAGCAATCTATAACATTGTTCAGATCTGTTGAGCATTGTAAGGAGCAGCGACTTATGCTTTGTTTGGCCCGGTCTCATGTAAGTTAACTAAGCCTGCATCGAATGACTTGTATGAAAACACACACACCATTTTGTTCTATGTATGTTGTCGAACACACAAACAGTGCCATGGCACACGTGTAAGTGTCGAGACATGCAGCTCTCCTTTCTTTCAACTCGTCCACACTCCAAGAAAGTGCAATTTCATCAAATTCGCTGCCTGGATGGGGACATCCTTCTGTACCCTGTCTGGCTCTTCTGTTTGTATGGCAGGTTTGGTGTGTGGTACAGGTGTCAAATGACACCTCAACTACTGTGACGTGGTGTGTGTATTGCTCCAAGAGGATGGTGTTTTACTGTCAGCAATCTGCTAGTGCAGCAAATAAGGAGAGAAGTGGGGATGAAAATAAATAATTCACCTTAAAAAGCAGAAATACTCCCATGGACTTTTCTACAGTGGTTTGTGGGAGTGAACTTTGTAAAAATGTCTTTAATATTGGTTTGATTACAAAAATAGTCTCTTAACCACAAGGCTAAGGGCTTGATCATTTATCCTTAGGGTCAGGCGGTCTGATTTTATTCGTATTACCGTGTGTTTCATTGGAAGGTCAGAAGAATAATATCAGACATTTACTTCTAACACTGTTAAAAAAATCTTGACCCAGGATGTTTTCATCCCTTGGTCCATGTTTGGCAGCATATTGAGCGGTTTTCAGTGGAATTATAACCAGACATTACAGGATTGTTCAAGTGCAACTGTTAGCCATTCATCCTACAGGTAACGAGGCATAAGTAAAGTGGATACATCATTTGATTGCAAATGTTGCCGTCCCTCAGAATGAAGTGGATAAGGTAAAAAAATGAAGG